TTTACAAAGAGAAAATGATAATTTTGAAACGTTTACAACGTTTTGCAAACAATAGATTTTGTTTATACACACGTATATAGAGAAACGTGACACCTCACATACACGTACAAACGAAGAAGAAGCAAAGAGAAGAGTCTTCTCTGTGTGTAGATCCTTCTTCTGCTCCTCCTCCCCTACAAATATCTCAAAGCTTTCTTCTTTCTCTTCTCTGTTTTCTTCACATGGCGGCTTCTTCTACTTTCTCCTCACTCCTACGTTCACCGCCGGCACTTCTTTCCGACCACCTCTCTCCTCCGCCGTGCAGATGCTCCTTTTCTTCTTCTCCGGTTCTTCCCAGATCGTCTCGTTTGGGTCTCACTTTACCGGAGAGGAGAAATCTCTCGCTGAAATCGACGGTTGGTGAGGTGTCTTATCGCGATCCGACGACATCTGGATCCGGAGCAGACGAGCGAATTGAGTCGCTCAAACTCAAATTACTGGTCAATCTGATTTGAATATCAGGAAGAAGTAAAAAATCGGTGTATTAGTAGAATTTGCATAGCAGCGGAATTGAATCAATGTCTTTCGATTTAGGGACTTAATTACTGTGAAGCTTTTGGGGGAACAGTCAGAGAGAAAATTTAATTAATCCTTTGGTTGCAATTGTGTACACAAGTGAACTTTGGGAAATACTTGAGTACAGTTTTGATGTGTTTGTTTTGTGTGAAAATGTAGAGTACAGTTTCAGGATTAAACAGAGGACTTGTGGCGAGTTTAGATGATCTACAAAGAGTTGAAACCGTTGCTAAAGAACTGGAAACAGCTGCTGGACCGGTGGATCTAACTGATGATCTTGACAAACTTCAAGGGAAATGGAGGTTGTTGTATAGCAGTGCGTTCTTTTCTCGGTCATTAGGCGGTAGTGGTCCTGGACTCCCTACTGGACGTTTGATTCCCGTTACTCTTGGCCAGGTCTGTTGTGATTCTTGAATCATGCTCTGTTTTTACCCGCAAACACTCGGTTAAAAGTGGCCGAGTATCTCACCATCGTTTAGTAGTTTTATATATATGCACGGTCTCGTCTACCAGATCATATGTGGTCATTGTTGAACATGAATTGTGATGAGATAAGAGTCTAGGTGCTTGGCAATGTCACCTGCCCCGAATTGCTAGAAAGCATTTTTCTGAATTATGAACTATGGAATCAGGTGTTTCAACGGATTGATGTGTTCAGCAAAGACTTCGATAACATAGCGGAAGTGGAAATAGGAGCTCCTTGGCCATTGCCCCCTATAGAAGTCACTGCAACATTGGCACACAAATTTGAACTCTTAGGTTTGCGTCTCTCCTTCTCGCATTTCACTTGAATTAAATTATAAAACTTGTTGATCATGTTTTGATGTTTTGGGAAAACAGGCACTCGCAAGATCAAGATAACACTTCAGAAAACAACAGTGAAGACATCAGGAAATTTATCGCAGATTCCTCCATTTGATATCCCGAGGCTTCCCGACAGTTTCACCCCATTGTCAAACTCTGGAACTTGGGGTTTTGAAGTAACCTATGTTGATGAAAATATGCGCATAGGTCGTGGAGAGAGAGGTGAACTTAGGGTATTTGTAAGGGTCGTTGACATGTAAAATACTTTCTAGCCTCATGAGTTTTGTACAAATCATGTGAACAAAAGAAGTACACGCTTTATGAGTAAGTTTGTGTATTGTATCGTACGAATTTATTGGCATGTGATTTATATCTTCTGGACTTAAGTTGAACAATTAACAGCAAAACCATATCTTAACGGTTCAAAATGTAGAGTTAACAAGCAAAGATGAGACAATCTTATACGAAAACTAAAACAGATGGATTCCAGATCCAACGAAGTACAAAACTTGTAGAAATAATAAAGATGAAACAGACTTAGAAAAGTGATGTTCCCTTCCCCTTCTTGTCTCCACCGATCTCGAAATGCTTGCACCTCTGAAGAAACCAAAATAAAAATTAACAACGTAAGAAAAACTTCCAAAACTACAACAAATCCAGAAATCAGAATGGATGTCTAAACATTCTTCTTTTCACCTTGATTGGGTGCTGAGAAAAGTGCTTGCAGGTTTGGCATTGAAGCCTCAAGACAATCTTCTTCGTGGTCTTAGCCTGTTCAAATCGATTACAAAGCGATGAGTCTATGTCAAAAACTGATCATACCGAGTGGTATCTCTGCCTCTCACGGCTCAATTTTAAGAGTATACGCACACAGAAACCCAAATTACGATTACTAGCAAAAGATATTCACATTATTTTGATCTGAATGAGCAAGTATATAGGCAAATGGTTCCTTACACACACGTTACAGAAAAGCTTGCTCATATATAACTAAAAGGACTGATTCAACTACAAAACGATACTGCAAATGCTTATTGTTCACCTTCTTGTGGAAGACAGGCTTAGTCTGACCACCATAACCAGATTGCTTACGGTCATAACGACGCTTCCCTTGAGCAGCAAGACTGTCCTTACCCTTTTTGTACTGTGTAACCTTGTGCAAGGTATGCTTCTTGCATTCCTTGTTCTTACAGTAAGTCTTCTTTGTCTTTGGAACGTTCACCTTCAAAAATTCAAAAACAAATACATCAGCTTCAGCTTCAATACTATTAACACAATGAAAGTATATCATTAACGATCAGATTCTACAAACTTCTAATACTCTACACAAGCAGCGATTGAAAAGACACAAATCTTAAAACAGTATTTAGTGGTCAAATGATAGATCTGAAAAACTAACAAGTCAAATCCACCGTGTATTGTTGTTACTCACAGGTCTTAATCAGAAAATCTATCGGAAATCGAAACGAGCTTTACGATTACAAAAACACAATCGAAAGAGAAGAAATAAGTTACCATTTTCGCTACTCTGATCTGTCTGTGGTGAAGCTTTGTGTGCCGTCGTCAGCCAGAGAACGCTGCTTTGAAGAAACAGACTTTATAGTAGTAACCTTTGAGAAACCCTAAATCGTAATATAAAAGACTTTGGGCCTAACCTTTAGGCCCATTATTGAACTTGGGCATAATAAACCCGCACTGTCGTCTTTAATTGAAGAAATCCAAATATAGATGCGTCGCGGTTTTAGCGTACGGAACAAACCCCCTCCCCCAAGCACATGATTTTTTTTAAAAGC